TAGTACGCATCCTTAATATCTAATATAGTATAGAAATAGGCGCTAGATAGGCGATCGAGGGTCTTATTAATAAGCGGAAGTAGATAGCGGTCCTTAATAGTAACAGTATTAAGCCCTCGGTAATTAATATATAAACGTAGACTACTATCCTTCTTAGGGACAAATAGGATTAGTATACTAGCAGGGCTGTTGCTATACTAAATTGGACTATTAGCTAGGTTCTTATCTAGATATTTACGTAATATAGCAAGCTCTCGTTTACTAAGGTTATAGAGGGGCCTAAAGGGGACCTCTTTACCCTCTAAAATATTAATCTTATAATCCGTCTCTTTAAATATAGGCAATGTCGATGCTAGGTAGTGTTTAAACATATTAATATAGGTTTCTCGAATAGGCTATAGTATACGAGCAAGCTAATTAGGGTCTATACTATTAGGGGGTATAGGTTTATCGTTATTACTACTAAGCAGATCGGCAGTTAGGTTAGCTAGGGCGGAGGCTAGTATTAGGTTGCTAATAAATAGGACCCTAATATCGTTAGGGCACTCGCTAATGTTAATGTGTTTAATGTCCTCTTTCCTAGCGATCCTAAATCGCTATTATTAGAGTCCTAAGTCTATAGCTATAGCGTAGTACTTAAGAATAGGGTTGCTAATAACAATATCGGATAGAAGGCTGTCTATATCTACTATATAGGTAGTAAAGTCTAACAAACGCTTATTGCCGAGGGGGTCTTTTAGAACTATAGGAATATAGTAGGCTCTATAGGTTAAGTGCCGAGCGTTATTAAACTAAGCAAGGGTTAGTAGATTAGCCCTATTTAATTGTCGGAGGTCTAATTGCTTAGCTAAGCGATAGCTAATAAGGGCGCTAACTGAATTTCCTAGATCTAGTATAACCTTAGTTTTGTAATTAGTACTATACGTGTCCTATACGAGACAGGTACGTATAATAGCTAGCACAATATCGATAGTCTTACGCCGTATAAGGCTAACAGTTAGTACGGCGCTTATTCTTTTTTCGACTAATTAAAAGAGCCGATAGGGGTAGCATTAGCGGCTAAAAGGTGTTTCCTATACTTAGCGGAAGCACGGTTAATTTAGGCCTAATCCTTAGGTTTGTCGCATTAGCCTAGTAGATAGCTAGTACTATTATAGTTAAAGCACTTCAATCCGGTTAGGGGGTTGCTATAGCTATTACTACTATTATTAGTCGAGCGGTTAGTATTATAGGGATACGAGCCCCTTCTACGGCCCCTATCGCGGCCTCCTCTATATAGCCGCTAGCTACGGCCTCTTCTACGGTCGTTGTTACTATTCCTATTATTAGCATTATTGTTCTAATAGGAACCTTAATTTCCTCCGCGGCTACGGTTGCTACGGTTAGTACTAGCTAGTCGGATCCTCGATTCTAGTCGTTACTAGAGCTAGATAGCTCGTTTAGCTATTTCTACCTCGACTATAAATTAAATACGTGTTAGGTTAGCCTATTTAAACATACGGCGACGGTCTAATTCGAGGATAAGCTCCTACCTAAGTTTTAGGCGTATCTCGGAGATCTATATAGAATTAGTCTTAGCCGGAAGGTCGTCTTTAAGGGTCTTTAAATAGGCCTCGAATAAGCGAGCCGATTAATTAGTCTTTTATTTAGCTTAAAGATACTAGTCCTAAGTATGTTATTGCCTTAGTATAGGGTTTCTAAGGGTGTTTAGTATAATAGTTTTATAGGTTTGCTACTAAATAGCGGTCTAATTATCGAGAGAATTAAAATAGTTATCCTAGGTGCGTTTTAGGTCGCTATTAATGTACTATATACCGTAGATAACTAATAAATAGTCGTCTAGAAGAGCCCTCGGTGTATTTCGTTAGTTAAGCTTATAATCGCGTATATAATTATTATACTGCTTACGACTAGAGCTATTAAACACGGTGCAATCCTTAAGCTTAGCATCCTTCTTCTAGACTAATAGTAAGGAAGGTCCTGCTATTAGTTTAGTAGTAGCTATCGGGGCTTCCTAAAGGCGGCGGAGCTCGAGGAGGTTATCCTTTAGCTACTGTTCTTAACGTAGGGTAGTAAGCCTATTTTAAGTAGCTTCTTAAAGTCTCCCTACTAGTTAGGGGCTAAAGGCTAGTTAGCTATATCGTCGATTAATAATATTATTAAGAATGTCGTTAACAGGCAATTCTAGATTATTACCTAGAACTATAAGTTCTTTAGTAGGCCCTCTAGTAGGCTCTTTAGCAGCTACTTCGGTAGGCACTATACTACTAGTATTGTTATTGCTAGCGCTACTAGCGGCGCCGCGGTTATTATTGTTTCGTAATAAGCCGGCTATTATAATAAGGGGTAGCACCGATAATGTATTATAGCCCCTTATAGTGCGGATATAGCGGAATTAGTAGGTGTCGGCCTAGTACGTTTAACTTAGTGTAATAGGCCGTATAGAAGGCCTTGCTTAATAAGTGGTACGGTTGTTTTAGTAGAATAGTACGTATAGATCCCGTTCTTTAGGCGTAATATAGTTAAATCGATAGTTTTCGTAGCTATACCGCTAAAAGCTTAAAATAAGGACTATCTAGCTACTATCCTTAAAGGGTAGATCGAATACTATATAAGAAGGGATTATATTAGTAGGTAGATAGGGTAGTAGTAGGTATAAGTAGTATTCGATAAGGATCTAGGAGGAGAGGGAGGAAGGTAGGAGAGTTAGCCTAATACTAAGCGCTAAGCCCTGCCTAAGGCATCGAAACCCTAGCTTTACTCGGCCTAGTTATATACTAATTACGTATAGCCTCTTTAGCCCTAATAGGCTATTAGCCTATTACTAACGTACGAAATAGCGACCTAATAAACTAGTAAATAGTAAATCTATTACTAAGCCGTACTTTTATATAAACTACGTACTACTATTAAATATCTATGTCGAATAGCTAAATAGCCGCTTATTTATATCTTAGAGTAGTCTCGGAAGGCATTATCGACTATCTATTATATCGTATATAAGCCGTTTACCCCTAGGCGCTATCGAGCCTACTAACTCGACGAATTCGACTATTCGTAACCCTCTCCTCTTCGAGAGATTGCCTCCGCCTACGTACTAATATAATAATAAGGCCGTAGTCTCTATATAGATAGGTAAGAGCGCTAAATTATCGACTTTATTACTTAGAATATTATAACTCGACGTATAGCTTAGACGGAAGTTAGAGACTTACTTAGTTTAAATTATAGCCCTATAACTATTTCTCGTATCTATAGGAGATATAGTTACTACCGCTACGTTATACGCCCTCGACCCTTCTATAATAACCGTATTTAACGACTACGCCTCGAATAGGCTTAATTCTACTAGTACTTTACTAAAGAAAACTAGGATAACGTTCTATAGAGCGATAAGAGTACTATCTATAATAGATTATATAAGAGTTTCTTTATTACTCGAATAGTTAGTAAGCGTAACTAAGACTACTATTCGAATTTTAAGGCCTCGCTTCTAGCGCCTTCTATACTAGATAATATAGGCCTATATTAGTAGTATTAGCGGTAGAAGACTACTCCTACTATAGGATAAGAATTAGGGCAATATTAATAAAGAGTCCTATTATAATAAGGTATTGCTAATTGTTTAGGAGGAAATTAGTTATATAAATAGCCTTATTACTAACTAATAATACCTATTACCCCCTTAGCTACGAGCCTACCCTATACCTAAGAATAGTACTCTTCTAATAAGACTCGGCGCCTATATATAGAGCTAAGTATACGATTAACTAGCTATAAGCTCGCCGTACTATTCTTATAGATAACTAGCTACTCTTATTACTAGATCCAAACCCTATTAAGAACCTATAGCGAGTAACTAAGTAGGCAATTAAACGACGTAGAAACAGACTAGCTAGCCGTAACCTTTAACTAGTAATTATCGACTAATACTATAACGTATCGATAGAATTAGTATAGCAGTAGGGGGTAATATACCGGCTCGCTATTATATAGTTATTAGTACTAATAGCGGCTAAATACGGTAGTAGACAGATAGCGCTTAGCGCTTACTTAGTTATCTATAGTCTTTAAACTAGCCTTCTATACGGCTTTAGGAATAGCCTCCTTCTTAGCTATAGTTATTACTACCTTTAGCTAGAAGACTAACGTTCCTTATAGTCGCGCTAGTTAGCTTCTAATATCTACTCTTACTATACTTTATATAGTAAGCGGTACCGCTAGGTAAGGGTTACGATATTCTAGAACGTATAAGCGTACTTTTACTCCGATATACGTTAGCGCTATATAGTACTACTATATAGATATAGGGTAATACCTACTCTTATTTTAGTCTAGTAGAGCTAGCCTATTAAATCCTTACAATCTCTAGAAAAGACGAACTAATATAAGTAAGTACGTATTAAACGAAGAAGTTAGTTAGAGGTCGGCTACTACTAGCTAGGTTCTTTATTATTATATATTAATAAAAAAGCTTAAAATATTACTAGGGGTTTTTTTACTATCTACGAATAGCCTTCTAAGAAAGGACTTAAAGGAGATTATTAGCTAGTCGTAGGCAATAAGACTAGACTAACTATATATAAGAAAAAAGTTTAACTTAAAATATACCGGGGGTTTGTTTTACTATCTACGAGTAACCTTCTAAGAAAGGAAACCGGTTATAGGCGGTAGAAATATGTCGGGCAGCTAGGATTGCTTATAGACCGTAATTAAATAGCGCGCGATAGTCGAGCTCGTTGCTACAATATAATTATTACCTGCGGCACTTTCCAGGTTTGAGGCAGATACTCGGAGTAGCTATACATACTGAACATGGAGTCTAGAGCTAGAGGGATACGAGTCCCTACTCTTCGCATTTGAAAAGTCGCACTATGCAGCAAGCGAAAGGGATATAAAAGCGCTAGGTAGGTTGCCGGAGGGAGAAAGTCATCGGACAAGTTCTTCTTATATCTACAGACAAGAGAAGACAAGACAATCGCCTTAGGATTATCGACAAGATGCATTTCTCTCATCTCGCAACCATTTCTAGCCTGCTGGCTCTCGCTGCTAGCAGTCCGATCATGCCTAGTAAGGAGGCAACTACTCTTCAACGAATGATCCTCATAGCTTACGCTTGCTCGCCAGTGACGAATGACATGCTCCCAAAAAGGCAGTACCGAGCTTCAGGCTTCTCCAAATATTCCCCACAGAATGCCGATGATGAGGGTCTGCTTGAGAAGAGGCAGTACCGAGCTTCAGGCTTCTCCAAATATTCCCCACAGAATGCCGATGATGAGGGTCTGCTTGAGAAGAGGCAGTACCGAGCTTCAGGCTTCTCCAAATATTCCCCACAGAATGCCGATGACGAGGGTCTACTTGAGAAGAGGCAGTACCGAGCTTCAGGCTTCTCCAAATATTCCCCACAGAATGCCGATGAGGACAAGTAGTGCAAGCTGGCGCTCAAAGACGCCGTGGTTGGGTGACGTACACATTCTTTAAGGAGAAGATGTAGCCTTCGTGAGATTAGAAGGCATCAGATTGGACTTGTATGCTGCTTCACACTATCGAAGTGGCATACCTACCGCAGCGGAAGTTGGATTTGTTTTTTTTTTCTCTTTGCAGTTCAGCATACTCATATAACGACATGTATCTTTTGCCGTGCGAAATGCTCTCTCGTGCCTAGGCAGTTTTCTCGACTTCTTGTTGTATCTCGGTTCTCACTTGGGGACAAGTTTTAGTCATGCACCATCCCGTAGGCGTCCTCGAGTTTGGGCGGAAGTCGGCCAGGGGTGCAGCGCTCGAGTCACTCTCGTACAGGTCAGTGTTGTATTCCAGCCTGCCTCGGTTACGAAAGCGAACACTCTACTCCAACAACTTAGCCGACAATGTGCAGCGCTTTTGGGTACAACATGCTTGGTCTGGCTCAAATTCGCAGGGACGTCTGCTTCCTGTGACGCGTAAGCTCAGTCACATGACAACACGTGACTTCTTGGCAGGAGAAGGATTTTCACACTGTATTTCAGAACATAGAATAGGAGAATAGGCAATTAACGAAGCTACAATTGAACCGCTAGCAAGGCAGTATTACGTAAGTAATCTACTACGCTATACGTAATAGTTATAAGCCCGGAAATCCGTAGTATTAGAGACTTCTATAGTAGGAAATAATAATTAGTAGTCTTAACGGCACTAAAATAACTACTACTATTTAATTAAGGTTCTATAAGCGCTAATAAGATTAGTATATCGTTAATAATAGCTTTCTTATTAGCTAGTCGCCTTAGCGGTACTAAATATATTACCCTTCGAGGACTAAACGACTAGGACCGCTAGTTTAAGTAAAGTTAAGATATATCTTACTAGATATAAGACCTAGATATATACTAATCTATATACGAATAAACCGGTAGAACCAGTATAACTATAGTCTATAACCCCTATACTAGACGTAGTACGTATACTAGTTAACGCTCTTTACTAGTAAGGAGTTAAAATAGCTATAGATATCTATAGGGTCTAGTTAGCGGAATTTAATCGATTTAGGTTAGTATATAATAAGTCTATCGAGTACCTAGTAACTATAGTAGACGTACGCTATTATTTAGAGATTACCGATAATAATAATATAATAGTACTAATACTACGTATTATTCTTATACGCCTAAAGGATAAGCTTGCTCTAAATATATAATAGTAAAGAACAATAGTTAATAAGGAACTAGCTCGACTAATAGGGTTACGATAAGTTAAGGACCTAGAATAGTAGTATAAGGAATAGCTTAATCTATATAAGAAGATAAGACGTATACAATACTTAGAGGCTAGAGCTATATAACTTAGTAGTCTATCTCTATATAGTAGTTATAAATACAGATAAAACCTATAGGAAAGGACTCTATATAATATATTAGGCTTTACCTAATACTAATTACTTCCTCTAACTAATTAGTATAGTACGAGACTATGCCCGTAATATACTAGGTGCTTCTACTAAGAAGGGGTTATTATTTAGCATTATCTACGAAGAAACAGGTAAAGCTAATACCGCTCCTCCGTAAGCTAATGCCGCTCTATAAGTAGCTAAAGATAACGATAACAATAAAAGACCTAGTAAGAGCAAAGGAGGCAACCGTAGTAATAGTAGAAGCCGTATACTGAAGACTTACGCCGAGGTTACTAGTATTAGCGAGAAGAAGGCATATAAGAACCGAGGCAAATATAGCGTAGTTAACTACTGCCTACGTAACTAGGTTAAAGAGAAGGATAAGGATAACAAGTAGAAGGCTAAGCTAAAGTACTTTAAGGGATACCTACGTAAGAATAAGAGCTTCTATCTAAGGCAGGCCAAATTCTTTAAGGATCTACTAGCTATTAGAATTGCTTAGGAGCAATATAGACTAGAAAGTAACGAGGATTCTATACTAGACAAGCTCTCCCTTACCTACTTCTTCTACTCTAATATACCACCATTTGCTAGAGTAGTTAGGCCTACTACCTACCTTAGTATAGCAGCATTAACAGAGTAGAATCTATTTAATAGCCTAATATATAATAGTAGCTTAAACTGCAACATTATTAACTATTCTAGTCGCTTTAATTTTATACTACTTCTATTACTAGTATCCTTAACTATAGCAACTAGTACTAGTTATAATAAGGTAGTAGCTATCGGAACAGCATCCTTCACTATTACAGCTATTAGTAGCAAGCCCCTATAGATTAAACTAAGGGAATGCCTATATATCCCTAACTTCTATACTAATATCGTAGGAGGTACCCTCTTCTTCTAGCGTTTAATTAGAGCGCGAGTAGATAAAGATCCCGCGACTAATATCCCTATCCTATACCTTTATTTCTTCGCTTTAAGTTTTACTCTTCCTCCCTCGCTATATACTCGCTAGTCTCGCTTCGCTAAGTCTTGTTTCCGGCCTATTCGGAATACCTATAAGTAATCCTTTTCTCTCTCGAGTAGAATATAACTATTATAAAAAAGAATTATACGAACGACTAATAAAGAAGAGATAAAGATTATAAAGTTATTATAACTAATTAAGATTCGCTACTACGAATAGTATATTCGAAGGTAGCTATAGTAGGAGGAAGGGATAGAGCTATAGTAAGTAAAGCAAACTAGCGTAATCCTATATAGTTATAACGAAACTCTACTAATTTAATTTAGTCTTATTAGAAGTTTAGAAAGAACTAGAGATATTATTACTACCTCTATAGTATATATATATCGAGATATAAGACGCTAATAATAACCGAGATTATATATATAGTACCCCTATAAATCTATATCTACTTTTGTCTATCTACTATTATTTGTAATCCCTATTCCCTATAAGGCTATAACCTCAAGTTAAACTAGTAGGAACAATTTTTATTTTTATATTCTTATTTAATACCCATTCCCCCAAGTCCCCTGCTGCAACGCTAAAATAGCAAAATGACTCCCTACCGAACTCCTCGCCTTATTCCCAATCCACAAACCCTCATTACTGCCTTGCACATAATGCTTCGTGCCAAAAGGAATCGAATTCTTGCCATTTGTCATGAATTTCCACGTGCTGCTCACGACTTGCTGCTGGACGTCCGTCGAGCTGACGGCGGCGGCGACGAAATTCCAATCTGTGAGGGCCCAGTTCACTCCGCGATCGGAAGGAGGGCCGGCGAATGGTAACCCGCCATCTTGCATTTGCTTGGCGTACCAAGAGGATTGCATGGACCAGGCGGTAGATGGGAAGGTGGTGAGGTTGAGAACGACGTCGCTGTAGCCCGCGAATACGGCGTTCCAGGTCGCGCTTTTGCCATAGTTGTATGTGAAGTGGGTGCTCTTAGCAAGGGTGGGGCCATCAAGACCAAGAGCGTCGTTGTAGATCTTCGCCGCCATCGAAGACGCGGTGTCAGAGTAGCCTGTGTTTCCAGTGAGCTTGCCAGCGGCGTTGAGTCCAATTGCTGCTTGCATGGCGAGTGCGGTCTGATTTGCTGACGCGGGTATGGCATCGGCACTGATGAGCTGACTGGCGGGATACAGGGAATTCTTCGCAAGGTAGTCTGCCCAGCCAGGGAACTGAGCGCTATACTGTTTCGCGAACGAGCTGTCGCCTGTGCATTGTTGGTAGGCAAGCAGAAGAATGAAGAGTGATGAGGTCTCGAAGAGCGGCATCTGCTCGGCATTGCCATCGTTGTGCCCTGTGGCCTTGGGATATGCTTACTCAAGGTCAGCAGAGGCGATGTACGAGTCGAAAATTGGACTCACCAGATCCAATGTCATGAATGACCCACGGATGAGGCCATCCGCCTCCCTTCATATAATCCAGAACAGGAGCCAACAGCAGTTTGATATACTCAGGGTTGAGGCTGACGAAGATCGGCCAGGTTTGGTAGATGAAGTCAACAGTATTCACGTTACCATCGCTCGAGATTTCCTTCATGAAGACATATGGAGATGCAGCGATATTGTCAGCAGGTACCTGCAATGAGAGTCAGCACCAAGCCCTATCATTGTGCGATCCTCGGAAGCATTACCGTAATCTCGATTCCACCGAAGGTTTGCCTGACACTTGCTTCCAGAATGTCCGCATATTGGCTACCATACGCCGAGGATACAGATGACGCCTTCGATCGGACTGCTGCATCGAACGAAAGTGACGATGACAGAGCTGAATCGTAGTTGCCCAGGAAGTATGATATGGCAGATTCCACATTCGGCCATTGTTTCCTGTAGTAGCCGGTCTGGTCAGCTCCAAGGTATTGAACAGCTCGTACTCGATCGAATCCAATCGCAAATGTAACCCTCCCGCTTGTGGTCGTTCCCAGATCCTTCGACACAGCAGCAAGATCACTGCCACCGCAGCTCGATTTCGCGGTCAGGGTACCCGTGCTCGTGAAGGCTTTGTACACGTTTGCAGGAGTATCGCAGGCGTGCGTCACACCAGATCCGGAGACCGTTGTGCCAAATAGCACACTGCCGTACGTCCCCATGTCATTCTTCTCGGTGTAAGCGCCGGCATTGGCATTGAAGAACCAGAAGAATCCAGCCGAGCCAGAGGTGGTCCAGTTTAGAGCAGAGGCACCGCCTTGAGCAGTCCATGTGTGATCGATAGCACTCAGAATTTGGATGCTTTGCGAGCTGGAGCTGGTGACGTTCACAGTCAAATAGCTGTAGGGAAGAGACTGCTTCGCATATGAAGCACTTCCGGGAAAGACGGGCGAGAAGAAATCCAGCACAAAGGCGGCAGGTCCAGCAAAGAGCGTAACATAGGTATGAGAAGAACTGTAGGAGACCGACTTCGTGGTCGCCGCCGTGGAGCCACTGATGCCTCCAGGAGCACCAAAAAGCGTATATGAAGTGTGCCCAACCTTAGCCACGATGGACCAAGTCAAAGGCTGTCCCGTCCAGAACTGCGGCTGACCAGTAGCCGCATTCTTGATTTGACTGCCGGGCATCCACGCCGAGAGGTATGGACTTTTCACGGCCAGTGGATAAGAAGGTAAGTTGGCATCGCTCGTCGCCAGCGACCATGAGCAAAGTGCGGCTAGGATGCAGAAAAGAGGGCGCTGAAAATGAGCAGGTCCCATCGGTCAAGCGAGTGTGTGCAAGCGAGTGTGGTTGAGACCCTAATAAGTTAACTTCGAGACATCGTTCTAGGAGGAAGAGGAAGTGTGTGGCGCGTGTCCGCAGAAGCATGGCATGGCATGGCATGGCATGGCCATCTATAAAATGAGCGCAACTAAGTCAGCACCAGGGTGCGTGGCGCCTGCCATTGCAGCTGCGGTAGACGTCGTAGGCTAGAAGCAGCTCTGCTCGCACTTGACCCCAGCGGAGGAGCTCTTGAGTCTTCATCACGGCGAGCATCCGCCTGCAGTGTCTCTTCTGCAGCCGATGCACCTTCTTCACCATCGACAGACACTCCGACAGACATTCCGAGAATGTATGGCCATCGCCGTTGGCTTGCCTTGCGCCTACGGGCTCCTGTAGCGAGAGGTGTGATGATCTCCAGGTACTTTGATGAAATGCCAGCCTCTATGCGGCTCAAACCACCGGCACTTCGAACCCCCTTATATAAATAGTTAAATGACGCCAAGTCGAAATCCTCACACGCAGGCTCAAGAAACCACGGCTGTTTATTCGCCTTGCATACGGCCACGGCAGTCGACCGAGAGACGCCACGAGGCTTGTCGACGCTGACCAAGACCGAACGCAAATGGCAGCCAGGAGGTTACTCGTGGAACACTGCGATGTATCACGGCGGAGTATCTATATATCAGCAACTCCAGGGGTGGTACGGACGTGGCACGGGCCAGTCGGAGTTGCTAGCAACTCTAGCCCTACTAAGCCCCGCTAAACCTTATACAAATCGTAGTCTTGGCAAACCTATATCTCTACTATTCCTAAATTCCTCCTATATTTCCTATTCTATATCGCCTATATTATATAACGGCTACTAACGTCTACTAATATAGACGTATCTATACCTAGCGACGTCGCCGACCTTAAGAAGCTTCGATAGCGCGTTTTTACCCTTAAAGAGGATATTAAGACAGATATAGAAGGCTAGAGACTAATATAGCGCCTATATAGCAATTAATATACTAAAAGATCGACTAAGAAGTATAGCAAACCTAACCTAGAAACAGGACTATACTATAACAAAGTGTATTACTATTGTATAAAGAAACAGCGCCGTAATAAGCTTAATCGAGAAGTAGTAGATATTATAGATAGACGAGTCTTTAAACTACTAGAAGAAGAGTATTAGATTAGCTTTGTTATCGAGATTAAATACCGCTAGAATGTAGCTACTAGAAGGGTTAGTATTCGTCGCTATATAACTACTAATATATATACCTATAACCTAGACCTTCTCGATAGCCGGAAAGTATATTAACTAGTTAAAGATAAGGTTAAGAAGCAAATAGATAACTCGCCGCAGGCGAGAAGGACTTATAATACAATTAATAGCTAATATAGTAGCAATCTCGGTATCCCTTATCTAGATATTAGTTTACTATATAATACCGCTAAGTACTCGCCCTATTATAATCGAGATAAGCGCTTTACGACGACGGACGAGCGAGGCGATATAGAGCTTTAATTATAGAGTATTATTATAGTAGCAAAAGAGTACGGTTTGCATTACTAATCCTTTAGCGTACTAACTAAGGATAGTATTAGAAGAGGCGTTATATAGGCTTTAGAAGAGGGCATTTAGCTATTAAAGAAGTATAGCAAATTAGTGCTTCTAGACGATATATACGAGGTTAACTAACTCGACTAGAAGTTGTTTAATATCCACATTTCTAACGACAATATACGCTAGCGACTAGTTGCTTACACACTCCTTAAAAGTAAGCATAGTCCGGTCTATATATAGGCATTGTATTATCTAGCTTCTTAGGCTAACTATAGTAAACCTAGTAGCTAGTTATTACTATACATAGTTACTAATAACTCGGCTTTAGAACAGATAGCAATATAACAGATATTTCTATAGTATAGGACCTATCTCTATATAAGACACTTACTCTAGACTATCCGCCGCAAATTTCTACTTAAAGGACTATATAAGAAGGTCTACGAGAAGCTAGTATAGGTGTCGTTGTACGCAGAGACTAAATAAGAGGTTATAGATAGAGTATAACAAGCTATTAACGCTCTACCGCAAGGCAAGAACGACGAGTTATACTCGTATCTATTACGAGAATAGTCTATCGAATACGCTTAGATATAGACGGTTAGAGAACGGAGGAACAACCCCCTATTAATGCGGATAAGAAGGCTATATTGTTCTCTTCTAACTGATTTTACTAACCTTCGTTATTTAGGCGCGTACTACTAATCTAGTCGAAGCGTACTACGCGGATTTTAAGAGTAATATAAGGTCTATTAAGGCTAACTTCTCGCTCGCCGGTACCCTTATATATACCCTTAATATCGATAAGAGATAGAATAATAACGCGAAGAAGGAGGCGGCGAAGGATAATATGCTCTATATCTTTACTAGACTACAAGGCTCTTATAAGCGCTTCTACAAACTACTATACTGCCTTTAAACGGCTATTGCTAAGCAATATCGACTAGCTTAGAAGAGGGCTAATTTAGGTCTTCTAAACTAGATACGATATTAACTATAACTTAATAACTAACTCCCCGATATATGCTAGTACTTCTTCTAGAAGCAGTAGTACTAACTGTATCGCTATATTTAGTACGATCGAGAGATTCTAGGCGATAGTATAACCGCGAAGTAGGTAGATTGCTATATTAACTGTTTCTTCGACCCTAAAGGCTTTAATAGTAATATTAACTCGCCGAAAACTTATAGCGAGTAGCTCGTAGACGATAATAACCCTATCGAAGACGATAATAACGAGGAAGTTAATAGTATTACTAGTACTATATCGAAGGACCGCTACCTTCTAATTCGCAGTCTTATCGAGAATATTACTTACGACTACTATTAGAAGGTTAAGAAGGCGGAAATAGTAGTACTAGCGCACCTATTATTAACCTACTAAGACGACATTACTAAGCAGTATTATACTAAATATATGCGCCTCTCGGCGGCGGTAGAGCTATTATAATAGCTCTAGCAATATTAATAGCGATACGAAGATAGCACCTTGTTTGCTATCTAATAGGCGTAGGTTAATATAGGCGTAGGCGCCTTACTATCGATTAGTCGCGTTTAAGAGATAGTCTACCTATAGTAATAACCTTACTATCTATAACGACCGCCGCCGGTAAGGGACCTATTTACGCTAGGCGTAGCGACTTAACGCGTACTAGAGTATACGGCGACTAGTCTCTATACTAATTAGTATAGAAACAGTTACTACTATCCTCTGCCGTTGTTCTAGCCGCCTCCGCCGTCGCAATTCGAGCCTACGTAGGTTACTAACTCGGTACTTTAGAATATATACTACGTAGGCGACGGCACCTATCGATATAGCATACCTTCTTTAGGCGACGGTAGTTTAATAGACGTTGTGCGCTAGGTCCTTTGCTAATAGCGCCTTCTGTTTGCGCCTACTATACTAAGCGGTCTTCGCTATTTAATAGTCGTCGCGAATATACTAATACCGTAGCCGTTGGGCCTACGACAATGTGTGCTATAATAGTCGCCGCTAATCGATATATTATAACTTAGTAACTAATAGGCACGCGTGTTTAATAACGACCGGCGATTCTTACTAGAAGACTAGCGGCGGCTGTTTAATAGTAGAACTTTTAGTAGTAATCTATATAATAGAGGCAATAGCGGCGGCGGTAATAGACAATAAAGTAAGAGCAAGTAGATATATCTCGGATTTAGCGCAACGGCTATACTACACGTTAACTTTAGCTTTATTAAGTTATCGCTAGCGACCTTCGAAATTACTATATTCCTAAAGCTCTTTCGAATTTAAAGTACATTTTAACTAATTTTATTAGAGGAGTTGCTAGTAACTCGAAGTAGAGGGTAGGACTAGGGTAAAAGTAGGTTAAGCTAATTAGCGCGAGTTGCTAATATATAGACACCCTTATAGTAATAACGACGGTCGAAGTTAACTCTATCGCCGATATAGACGTACTAAGACCTAGTTATCTAAGACGAGTTATCTTCTAAATACCCTCTAAGCCTATATTAGAATACTCCTATCTATATAGCGGTCGAGACGATAGGGACCTATTTATAATACCGTACTAGGGGCTAAGCGCCTAACCTACTAAGAATAGGCTTAGCCGACCTTATAGAGCGGCGGTCGGTAAAGATTGTATATGCTTCCGCTCCGGCGCGTCGACGCGCTTTCTATTATTTAGGCGCTTGTTTTATATACCTATTCTAACCTCGCTATCGCTGCTATCGCTACTATCGCTATTTCTTAGCCTATATATCTAGCATTCTATTATTAATTCTATCTTTTCTAATATAGCTTTGTCTACTAAGAATGCCTACTATTAGCGACCTCGTCGGAGATGCTAGTAGTGTTCTTGCCTTAGAGGCTTAGGGCGATTTCGCGTTAGATTTAGAGGGCAGTACGTAGACTTCGCTCGATAGCAGGCGTATTAGAATCGCTAATATATCGATAGACGCGTTAGGAGAGGACAATATAGTCGATTCTAGTAATAAAAACGCGTTAGTCTCCTCTGCGCCTCGCCGTAAGCGTATTTCTCGAGTTCTCGTAAACCTAGAAACAAACTACGCGTCCTTACCGTACGTCGAGAACCTCTGCAAATAGCGCGAACGAGCTATTCTTTATAGGTTCGACGACTCGTTTAAAGTGTCGGCTAAACAATAGTACGCGCTACTGCTATATATTAATAATATATAGGTAAAGGATAAGGTCTACGTCGAGAAGAACGGCCTAGAAACAACGCGTTTTATTTGCCGCTTTCGTAAACAACTATACTAGAAACTAGATAAGACGCAAGGCTTCGGCTAGCAAAGAAATAATAAGAAGATTAAAGCAGCGCGTTATTGTCTAGTTACAATAAAGGTTGTAAGCGTTTACAGTCCGAGTAGTAATAGCGGTAAAAAAGAGATTATCGTATATCGAGTATAGCGTATAAATCGCGACGATTACTCGGACTATTA